AAAGGCAATAAAACAATTCATTATGAAAGGAGAGTCCATCCATTAAAACAGTCAAACTATTGGGTGATGGAAAGTGAAGTCCAGAACAGGGGCGGACTGACAACTCATGGGGCCCCTGGGCAATAGTGGATCATGGGGCCCGTGTGTCCTTGCCCAAACTCAAAAAAGCCTATGAAAAAGGTACCAGGGGCATCTAATGGGGCCCCCTACTGACCCCGGGCCCTCGGGCAGTGCCCGAGTTTCCAAATGGTCAGTCCGCCCCTGGTCCAGAACAACCAGATATTGTCTCCTGCCCATTCAGGTCAAAAAAGCAGCGTTTCCCAATAGCCCCTCCTGCACCAAGGTATATTTACTTATCCTAGCTCCATACTTGCCTTCCCACCCCATAAGAGTTCTCTGTTTCTCCAATGGAGCATGGCTTCCACGTATTGAGGAGTATATGACCCCAGTGCTAGGGTCTGAGCAGCGAATCGCCAGGCCTAAATACAGGCATGTGACGTTATCTGCCCAGGTAAGTATCAGCACCATGGCTTACTCAAGGGCATAGATCAAGGATTATAACTTTGCTGTGGGAAGGGTTGTCATACACTGTCACTGTACCCTGAATGGGAAAGCAACAGTCTCCTTAAAGACCATCCCAAGGAAAAAGAAAGGAGAAAAAAACAAAAACAAAAAAAAAAAATCAACCTTCACAGTGGGGCCCGCTAGAATTCTACGGGAGGAATGTTCACTATGTCTAGGGGTGTCGGAATACAGACAAATACCACGCTCCAGCAGGGTTCCTCCAGAGGTGTGACCGGTCCCCCCCAAAGCACTCCCGGCCGCAGTTACGTTTACCACCGCCATCACACAAAAGGTAATAGCCCTGCACTGTACGTGAGAACGCCAAGGAACCAATCACAGACCAGAGCTTAAAAAGAGCAGAGGATCCAGCTGTAGTGGGGAATAGGGAAAGCAATTGTGCCTGGAACCCCTAGACATAAGCATTTAACACGTGCAAGAGTCAATTTTTTTTTTCTAATTCTTGGAGTTGGGCTTTAAAGTGGAATTCTGGGATAACTCAAACTACTAAACTACTCTTAAAACTGTCCCCTCCACCCTCCTAACACCCATGCTTACTGCCATGTGTAAGAGAGATCAATATACTTACCTATTCTCAGGCCACTCAGGTCCAGTCACATGATCTCCCGTGTCAGCTGCAGGGGAGAGAGGAGAGCGCTGGAACAGCTGGTACTGCCTCTGTGCATGACACCACCCATAGACTTCAAAGGCTCATTGGTTGTTGGCGCTCCCTCTGCTCCCCTGCAGTGGCACTGGCTAAAACAGGGGAGCCGGATCACATGACTGGACTGGAGCAGCCTGGAAATGTATCCCGCTTTCTTACACAGGTTAGTAAACATATGTGTTAGGAGGTGGGAGGGAGCAGTTTTAAGAATAGTTAAGGGTATTCAAGGATTCCACTTAAAGGGAAACTTGTAGTGACAAACATGGAGGCTGCCATTGCTGATCTCTTCAAGAAATGTTAGTTACGTGACTGTCATCCGATCTCGTGGTCCTCACACCTTTGGGTCACTGACTCTAAGCAGATATGCAGATCAGGATTTATGTCAGGATTTATTACTGAAAGCTGACTTCACCTGTTGCATGCTTGTCCTGAGTCAGCAACAAAGAATAAAGCCAAAGACAGCCATGCAATCAGCAGAATAACAGCAGTCTCTCTCATGGTGGTTTCCAAATTAAGGCACAGGTGTCAAACTGGCGGCCCTCCAGCTGTTGCCAAACTACAAGTCCCATGAGGCATTGCAAGATTGACAGTTACAAGCATGACTCCCAAAGGTAGAGGCATGCTGGGACTTGTAGTTTTTCGACAGCTGGATGTCCGCCAGTTTGACACCCCTGCTTTAAGGCATGCCCCATTGGCTTTGTTTTAGATTTTCTTCAATTAATAAGGCACAACAGACAATAGTAACAATGTGAACAATTCTGTAACCCACAGCTACCAATCAGGTATTCATTACCTGGAGTCAGGCAAGTGGGAAATAAATATATGGGCTACTGAACATTGCACATGACCCCTTCCCTAATCCCAGTATAATACAATTTAATACAGACACATTTTCAGCAAGCTATGTAAAAAAAAAAAAAATCTGTTTTATCCAAAGGCAATAAAAAATAAACTCGGTCTCTAATACAAAATCTTTGAAGTGGCAATTCCCTTTAAATATTCTTGAAGTGTAAAAAAAAAAAAATAATATAATAATATTGTAAAAATATACTCAATGAGCTGATTCATTTCATTACAACTGTGGAGCTAAGGAATGATGTCTGAGTGATTATTCCTGTATTAAATCTGCAGATGTCCACATGAAACATGTACACTTGTAAGTGGAGTTTCTCCAAATGCTACTGGATGCACTTAAAATTCCGACTGAGATTGAGGGGACAGATCCAGGAACCTGTGCACAATCTGAATGTAATCTGACAAAATGATAAAATGCCTTAAAGCGGAGTTCCACCCAAAAGGGGAAGTTCTGCTTTAAAGACTGGTCCCCCGCTCCCCATTAAGGATTGGCACCTTTGGGGAGCGGGTACCCGAATTCGGAATTTGACAGGTACTCGCTCCCACTTCTGCTGTGATCGCCTAAGTGATCGGAAACAGAAGTTGTCCCCCCCCCCTCCCCTCCGCGTAGTCTTCTGGGACACGTGACAGGTCCCAGGAGACTACGGGGCCATTCACAAAGCGCAGCGCTTCTCACGCATGTGCAGTGGGCACCTGGCTGTGAAGCCGTAAGCTGTCACAGCCAGGTGCCCACACTGAAGATGCCGGCACCTGGAACACCAGACGGCTGGTGAAACGGGCTGTGGGGAGGGAACCGTGGGATCATGGGACAGGTTAGTGGCTGTTTTTTTAAAAGTCAGCAGTTACAGTTTTTGTAGCTGCCGACTTTTATTTTTTTACAGTGAGTTTTGCATACTGAGCCACTACTGGAGCCAGCTGTGGCCTCAGTGGGCGCCTGTATTCTCACATAATCAGGTTTCCTACTGAATTTCTCCTATTTGTATAAAGGACAGCTGTACTTCTGCTAATCTGAAAATACAACCACAGGGCGAAAGTGAGAAGTGACCCGTGATGTGAACTTGAGTTGGCCTTATAGTTGCTAAATCGCAGCCAGTATCTTCAAGGACTTCCAGTTATAGACTAGAGATTTCCTATAGGCAATCAGTGAAAAGGCTGCACCCCTTCCTGCACTATTGGTTACCAAATCTGTCTATCCTTGTAGAGGAAGCAATAGAGCGCCCTTGGCTTGGTGTCTCCTGGATGTCCTTTAACACAAGGACAGGGCCATTCTACACTACACATTGTATATACAACTGAAGCTTTCACTGCCCTGCAACATCAAAATAAAAAAATACAAATCAGAAAGTTGGCGTTTAAAGGGTCAGTGCACCCTATACGGTTATGCAGATTTCCGGTAGATGCTGGAGATTTAAAAATGATCCAGTGAACTTCTAGGTCTCTCAGGGACTTCAAAAGATATTTATAAAACGTCTCTATTCTTCTCTAGGCTCCCCCCTATGACTGAGCCCCAATGGGCAGGGGAAATGTGTCAGGAGCCGTGATTTCTTGGTAGAGCCGTGATTTCTTGGTGGAGACATGTAGGCTGAAACCAATCCTTACTCACATGACATGGTGGCTGGCTGAGAATGGCGTCCTTGCTGATTACTTCCCTGGTTATAGCTGAACCTGGACTCTTGAAAAGTCCACCCTTGCCTGTTAGGTCTAGGGGAAGAGGAATGAGGTCCAATACTTAACTTTTTCCTCACCCTGGCAGGCACCTTCCACCAGTATGACTAGTCCCCCCAAAGCCTGTGTTCCAAGATACTCTGGCTGGAGGTCACTCCATGACATTAAAATGCTATTCAAAGCCTGACAGGTTCCATCAACAAGTACATTGCAGGACAGGTAGTCCCGTACATGAGGACAGCAAAGGTGAAGGAAAAGAGAGCTGGAACTTGTTATCCACAAGCAAGACACCCAGAGGCAGAGGCATGATGGTACTTGTAGTACTTCAACAGCTGGAGGGCCATAGTTTGGACACCCTTGGTTTAAAGCTTTAAACCAGGGGTGTCCAAATTATGGCCCTCCAGCTGTTGAAAGTGCTACAAGTCCACAGGCAAGACACCCAGAGGCAGTGTCTTGCAAGGCCTCATGGGATTTGCAGTTCCTCAACACCTGGAGGGCCATAGTTTGGACACCCCTGGTTTAAACCCTTGCAAAGCAGGGGGGTTGGAGGCGTTGGAGCTCATTAAAAGAGTAGACTTTTCAAGAATCCCAGACTTTAGCTATAAATTGACAATGTTACAGTTCAATGGCCACCCCATCTGTTGCAGCAGGTTCAAGAGGGTCCCTCTCTCCCTGCAGGACTGTTAATGGTTTTATTTTATGGAGGATATGGTATCAACTGGGGAACATTGAGGAAAAATGTGCCGTGAACAGCAGAAAATGACAGCGGGGAGATCTCTGCTGACGTTCCCAGATACAGGATTCATCTGCTGGGTGTATAAACTGCCGGCTTCCCATAACTGGTTTTGGCTGGAGGATTGATCTGTCAAACGGCTAGATCTGCTATACACAGGTGACACGTATGAAGATTCCCCCGAGATATTAAGTAAAAGATACAATGACCTGAAAACAGAAAATACATAAGAGGAAAAATGAAGGCGCCTTGTCATTCCTGGAGTAAAATCAAAGTCTCATCTGCAGCAAAGCACCATCAAGCAATAAAAAAGGTCCATATGAAAGGCCTGTGTGGCGGATGACAGAATAAGGCACTAGTGTAGTGGGGGAGGCTTTAGTGATTGTAGTGGAATGTACATTGTAGGCGTAACAATCCTCACATCACTTCCACATCAATAAAAGCAGCAAGTGGTTATCTTGTTTTGGCAGCTTAGACTGGAAATGCTCATCTTTGGTCCCACTTATCTGTACACCACGAAGGTCATCTGGATAGATGAAGGTGAGGGTGATGATGTAACCTGTCCAGAAGTTCTTCATCTGTTGGTTCTTCTAAGTCTTCCCTGTTAATGTACATAGATACATAGTTAGTGCCCTATCATTGGTGTCAGTGGAAGGAATAGTGTTCCACGATTAGAGTTAATGGAAGCAATATTGCTCTATTGTTGGGAGTCAGTGGAAGGAATAGTGCTCCGTGATTGGTGTCAATGGGAGGAATAGAGCCCCATCATTGGTGTCAGTGGGAGAAATAGTGCCCCATTGTTGGTGTCAGTGGGGAGGATAGTGCCCGATTGTTGGTGTCAGTGGGAGGGATAGTGCCCCATTGTTGGTGTCAGTGGGAGGGATAGTGCCCCATTGTTGGTGTCAGTGGGAGGGATAGTGCCCCATTGTTGGTGTCAGTGGGAGGGATAGTGCCCCATTATTGGTATCTTTGGGAGGGATCGTGCCCTATCATTGCTGTCAGTGGAAGGAATTGTGCCTTATCATTGGTATCAGGGGGAGGAATAGTACCCTATCATTGGTATCAGGGGGAGGAATAGTACCCTATCATTGGTGTCAGTGGGGAGGAATAGTACCCTATCATTGGTGTCAGTGGGAGGAATAGTGCCCTATGATTGGTGTCAGTGGAAGGAATTGTGCCCTATCATTGGTGTCAGGGGGAGGAATAGTGCCCCATCATTGGTGTCAGTGGAAGGAATTGTGCCCTATCATTGGTGTCAGTGGGAGGAATAGTGCCCTATCATTGCTGTCAGTGGGAGGAATAGTGCCCTATCATTGGTGTCAGTGGGAGGAATAGTGCCCCATCATTGGTATTAGTGGGAGGAATAGTGCTCTATTGTTGGTGTCAGTGGAAGGAATAGTGCCTCATCATTGGTGTCAATGAGAAGAATAGTGCCCGTTTGCTGATGTCAGTTGCAGGAATTATGCCCTATCATTGGTATCAGGGGGAGGAATAGTACCCTATCATTGGTGTCAGTGGGGAGGAATAGTACCCTATCATTGGTGTCAGTGGGAGGAATAGTGCCCTATGATTGGTGTCAGTGGGAGGAATAGTGCCCTATCATTGGTGTCAGTGGAAGGAATTGTGCCCTATCATTGGTGTCAAGGGGAGGAATAGTGCCCCATCATTGGTGTCAGTGGAAGGAATTGTGCCCTATCATTGGTGTCAGTGGGAGGAATAGTGCCCTATCATTGCTGTCAGTGGGAGGAATAGTGCCCTATCATTGCTGTCAGTGGGAGGAATAGTGCCCTATCATTGGTGTCAGTGGGAGGAATAGTGCCCCATCATTGGTATTAGTGGGAGGAATAGTGCCCCATCATTGGTATCAGTGGGAGGAATAGTGCCCCATCATTGGTGTCAGTGGAAGGAATTGTGCCCTATCATTGGTGTCAGTGGGAGGAATAGTGCCCCATCATTGGTGTCAGTGGAAGGAATTGTGCCCTATCATTGGTATCAGTGAGAGGAATAGTGTCCCATCATTGGTGTTAGTGGGAGGAATAGTGCCCCATCATTGGTATTAGTGGGAGGAATAGTGCCCCATCATTGGTGTTAGTGGGAGGAATAGTGCCCCATCATTGGTATTAGTGGGAGGAATAGTGCTCTATTGTTGGTGTCAGTGGAAGGAATAGTGCCTCATCGTTGGTGTCAATGAGAAGAATAGTGCCCGTTTGCTGATGTCAGTTGCAGGAATTATGCCCCATTGTTGGTATCAGTGAGAAGAAAAGCGTCTTGTATCAGTGGGAGGAAAAGTGCCCCAGGACCGCAGTTTGGAGACCTCTGGGTTAGACCTCTGACAGTTTTTTGTTTTTTTTTTTAAATACCAACAGTGTCTCTGCTGTAGAAATCCCCCTCACTATTGGTCCTGGTGACCACTGTCTTTAAATGGTAAAATGTGATTTTTGACTTACTTGTAAAATCCCTTTCTTGGAGTACATCACAGGACAGAGAAAAATAAAAATATAACTAAAGGGAAAACTTTTTTTTTATGTAATTTTGGATAGAGTGGAGAGGGATAAAAACACCTGTTTTTATTGCTCTCTGTACCCCCCCCCCCCCCCCACCCCTCAAGTTTACTATTATCATTGAAAGTAAAAGAAAACCCCAAATTTTGGGTTGTCCCCAGAAAAGTAATAGAGGGGAGATGAAGGAAAATGGGACAGAGATAGTTAAAAAAAAATCTGACAAAAAAACCAAAAAAACATTTTGACTATAATTCTACATTAATTCTTAGGCCATTGGGTTGTGCTCCACCTCCAGATGACTGGATCCCGGTAAATAGCAAAGCCCAGTCCTGCGTAACCCTCCCACTCCCAGAAGTGGTCTGCTGGCCATAGTGAACAATACAGATAGAGACCGCCTCTGACCCACCAGGATGTAAGAACATGCCAGGATTTATGTCATCTAAGGACTAGCTAGCTAAAAACAGAGGCTTGGCTGAGCTTGGAGGGGGTTATGCCTGGGCAGCATTTCCTGCCTTTTTTTTGTCCAGTGTCCATTCACCCGAAGGTGGCAGCATAGTCATGAAGAGGGGTGGACTGACCATTTGGAAACTCGGGCACTGCCCGAGGGCCTGAGGTCAGTAGGGAGCCCCATGAGATGCCCCTGGTACCTTTCTCATAGGCTTTTTTGAGTTTGGGCAATAACACAGGGGCCCCATGATCCCGTATTCCCGGGGGGCCCCATGAGTTGTCAGTCCGCACCTGGTCATGAATATACTGTCCTCTGTGTCCTAAGATGTATAAAATACAAAATGTTTGAGTCGTCAATGGCATAGGAGAAATCTTAAGAATTGGCAAAAAAATGTTTTTTGCTTTGAATAGATCTCCTCATACTTTCTGCTGTTTCTCTAAAAAAAGGGAGTAAAAGGGAAGAACGCCCCACAAGGGACACAGCGCAAAAAAAAAAACCACACACACAGTGGTCTTAAAGCGCAGCTCCGCCCAAAGGGGGAAGTTCCGCTTTAAGCACTGCTCCCCCCCGCTCCCCATTAAGGATTGGCACCTTTGGGGGCGGGAGGGGGGGGGGGGAGCGGGTACCAGAATTTGACAGGTACCCACTCCTAATTCCAGTCTGATCGCCTAGGCGATCGGAAGCAAAAAGGTGTCCTCCCCCCTCCCTCTCTGTAGTCTTTTGGGACACATGACAGGTCCCAGAAGACTACAGGACCATTCATGAAGTGCAGCGCTGCTCGCGCATGTGCAGTGGGTACCCAGCTGTGAAGCCGCAAGCTGTCACAGCCGGGTGCCCACACTGATGATGCCGGCCTCCGGGAATACAGGACGGCTGGTGAAATTAGCTGCGGGGGACACACCACGGGACCGAGGGACAGGTAAGTGACTGATTTTTAAAAGTCAGCAGCTACAGTTTTTGTAGCTGCTGACTTTTATTTTTTGACAGGATGAGTGGAGCTCCGCTTTAAGCCCCGTACACACGATGAGAATATCGGACGAACAATCGCCAGGTTTTTTTCGCCTGCTAGTCTCACATGGAAAGTGAAAAGGTTACTAAAGATACGAAAATTCTCATATGAAAGAAAAGTGATGTCATGTATTTGTATTGTATTTCTGGACGACTACTGAACCAATTAAATGAAAATTGTACGATCTGCTATCGTACGAGAAAAAATTTTTGCGCTTGTCCCTTCGGATATTGTCACACGAATTGTTGTGATCAGCTCTCGAAAGCTGCGTACCAACGATTCGATTATCAGATGATTGGTCCTCGTCTGAAAATTTTCGTCCGATTCTTATAGTGTGTACGGGGCATTAAAGTAAAACTTTACTCACTTTATGAAGGTCCTCTCTCTCTTCTGCCGCAGAGACGGACCCTTGCTGTTTGTGTGGAAGCAGTGGTTTCTCTGCACAGGTCTGGCATTCCCTGCAGAGACAGAGCTGGAACTCTCCAATCAGCAGGGTGTATGAGCTTTGCTGATTGGAGAGATCTAGCTTTGGCTGGCCATACATGGGTCAAAATTAGACTGATTTTTCATCTGAAAATCGAACCTAAGCATAAATCGGCCGATTTTCGCTGTTAGTGGGCCGATTTTCGTGGCTCCTCCCCTTTTCGGTGATTGGACATGTTGGAAAATTTGTGAAAAACGACCAATTTTCAACTTAATGATGGTCATATCGTACGATCGTTTTTCCGAAAAGAATATGCGCATGAGCCGTGACCTGGAAGGAACATTAGTGTCACCTGTTACATGGGGTGAACTTTATGACTTGGTCGGCCAATTTTCAAAATCATTGATGGCGCCATCGGATTACTGAGCGAACAACGTTTTCAGACAAAAAATCGTTCAGAATTTGATCCATATATGGCCTGCATTTGTCCTAACATTGGGCGTGAAGGACCCCAACACAGAGACTAATGCTTCCACACAGACAGAGGGGTCCTGCTCTACAGCATGCTGGCAGCGGACAGGCTGTTCCGCTCAGACTGTGGTTGTTTTCTAAAGAAAACCAGCTGTAAGTCTTTACTTTTTTTTTGATGGACCTAAAACGTATTTAGCGGATTAAAACTGAAAGATAATTTGCAAATTAAACACTACACTATCTAAAATGTAACTGTGTCCAACCTCACCTGGCAGGGCCTATACATTTGGTCTCCTGCATCCCCAATAAATGCTGAAAGAAAGAGCAGCTGATCCCTCACTAGGAAGAGCTGTATTTACAGTTGCAAGAAAAAGTATGTGAACCCCTTGGGATTACGTGGAGTTTTGCATGAATTGGGCATAAAATGTGCTCTGAAAGTCATCTAAGTCACAACAATAGAAGAACACAATCTGCTGAACATAATACTACACAAACATTAGATGTTGCCATGGTTTAATTGCACATAACATGTAAACATTCACAGTGCAGGGAGGAAAAAGTATGTGAACCTTTGGACTTAATAACTGGTTGACCCTCCTTTGGCAGCAACAACCTCAACCATACGTTTCCTGTAGTTGCAGATCAGACCTGCACAACGATCTGGAGTCATTTTGGACCACTCCTCTTCACAAAACTGTTTCAGGGTAGCAATATTCTTGGGATGTCTGGTGTGAATCGCTCTCTTAAGGTCATGCCACAGCATTTCAATCGGGTTGAGGTCAGGACTGGGCCACTCCAGAAGGCGTATTCTGTGCTGTTGCAGCCATTGTTTTGTTGAATTACTTGTATGCTTTGGGTCATTGTCCTGTTGCATCACCCATCCTCTGCGGAACTTCAGTTGGCGGACAGATGGTCGTACGTTTTCCTGCAAAATGTCTTGATAAACTCTGGAATTCATTTTCCCATCAATGACAACAATCCGTCCAGGCCCTGAGGCAGCAAAGCAGCCCCAAACCATGATGCTCCCTCCGCCATGTTTTACAGTGGGGATGAGGTTTTGATGTTGGTGTGCTGTGCCTTTTTTTCTCCACACATAGTGTTGTGTGTTCTTCCCAAACAACTCAATCTTGGTTTCATCTGTCCACAGTATATTTTGCCAGTAGTGCTGTGGAACATCCAGGTGCTCTTTTGCAAACTTCAAACGTGCTGCAATATTCTTTTTAGACAGCAATGGCTTCCTCAGTGGTGTCCTCCCATGTACTCCATTCTTGTTTAATGTTTTCCTTATTGTAAATGTGTCAACAAAAATGTTAGCATGTGCCAGAGATTTCTGTAGGTCTTTAGCTGACACTCTGGGATTCTTCTTTACCTCATGCAGCATTCTGCGCTGTGCTCTTGCAGTCATTTTTACAGGACGACCACGCCTAGGGAGAGTAGCCACAGTGCTAAACTTTCTCCATTTGTAGACAGTCTGTTTTACCGTGGACACATGAACATCAAGGCTTTTGGAGATACTTTTGTAACCCTTTCCAGCTTCATGCAAGTCAACAATTCTTGATCGTAGGTCTTCTGAGAGCTCTTTTCTGCGAGGCATGGTTCACATCAGACAGTGCCTCTTGAAACCAGTAAACCCAAAACAGGTGTGTGTTTTTTAAGGGCAGGACAGCTGTCAGCAACACATCCAATATCATCACACTGATTGGAGTCAAGGTTGGCTCACTCCTGGCTCCAATTAGCTCTGGGAGAAGTCATTAAGCTAGGGCCTCACATACTTTTTCCTCTCTGCACTGTGAATGTTTACATGTTATGTGCAATTAAACCATGGCAACATCTAATGTTTGTGTAGTATTATGTTCAGCAGACTGTGTTCTTCTATTGTTGTGACTTAGATGACATTCAGAGCACATTTTATGCCCAATTATGCAAAACTCCACGTAATCCCAAGGGGATTGCAACTGTAGGCCATCTTCTTCCCCTGGGGGTGATGATGCCCTTTTTTTTACAAGTTCTGCCGCTCTTGTGATGAGAAATCTGAGGCAGCATGTTCTCTGCTTTCCATGTAAAGCTACTACTACACCATACAAAAGAAAGGAGAGATGGTTACAGATAGCCCCTGCACCTCTGGTTCCCCCAACCGATCGTTTGCTGGATTTTTTCAAAAAGAAGAGAAAGAAAAAATGAAAACTTTTTTTTTTCCTTAACCCCCTGACGCCGACGTAACACAAATATGCGGTCTCACAGAACTGGGCTTTTTTCCTTGGGGCCGCATATTTGCGCACGCCGCGCTCCCAGCACAAAGACTGCGGTGTCACTGAGAGCCCCGGGTCCCGATCTAACGATCGGGACCCAGGACTCCCGATTTCCGGGTCACATCATCGCTGTGATAGCCTCTGATTTCTAATTTCTAGAGTTAATATGTGGTTACACCCCTTTAGCACCTGATGGATAAATGCATGCACTAGCTGTTGGGATTTGAGCACAGGGATCTCTTGTTTGTTGTATTGTTGGGTCAGTAGTCAGACCTGAACCTGGTAGCTCTCCCCATTGTGTCTTTTCCCCTATGCTAGCATTGTGTCCACAGTAGCATTTGCGTAGGCAGAGCAGAGTAGGACTGGCCATAGAGGGATTACTTTGACGCAGTTGGCCAGCTTAAGCATGTATTGCAATATGTGTGAACTAAATATCCCTATTTATTCCAGAGTCTGCTTAAAGGGTATATAGCAGTGTGCAGAGGGTCCTTCAACATTTCTAGCCTCTGATTGGCTATCACAGTGATCAGTCACTGTACAGCCCGGCCCCCTTATGTTTTTTGCGTTAGGACTCTATGAATGAGGAGGAGAGAGATACATCCCATATTTCTCTAACTCCTGGCATAGATTGGGGGAAAAAATGTTTTTTGTATGAAAAAAAAAAAAACCATAAGAAAAAATAAAAAAATAGATAAATAAATAATACAATAAAAAATAAAGAAAAAAATACCTAGATCAAGGTTTAATCTAGTTCAGTGCCAGGGTAAGTGTTTGGGTCAAGGTCAAAAGTCCAGGGTCAAAGGTGAGGATTTAAAAAACAAAATTTGGTGTCAGTTAGCATCAGTGTGTTTTAGGTAAATATCACAAACAACAAATTGCGCACTATTGTTTCTGGGCTGTACTACGGGTACAAACAACATACACATATATGGTATCGCTGCGATCATCAAGAGCTGGAAAATGTATTTTGGGTTGTTCTTTGGTGGTAGGTTATGGTAGTAACAAGATATGGCTCCAATCGCACTGCGCACAATTCACATGTGATTTCCACAAGAATGCGGCGCGGTTCCTGTGCGAATCACATGCGATATACCGCACTGCACAAGTGTGAACCCAGCCTGGTCGCTATAGAACAATACACATTTACTATTGCAGACACTATTAGGATATAGGGCCAACATATTACAGGAACATTTCCTGCTAATCAAAACAGATACTTCAAAAGCCTGTGTATAATGGAACAAACAGTATTCAACATGATTTGCAAAACGAATGATCTCCCTTACTTGCTTTACAGTATCAGACAGGAGATGAAAGGACTGCTACCCATCTCACCTGAACATCAGCTGGACTGTCATGTGGTACTCTACTTGCTGGGCTGCAGATAGTGAGTGCCTGTAACTGCGATCCCATTTGTGGATAAAATTCTAAAGAAAAAAAACACAGATGGTGAAGTCTTATATACCTGTGTAAGAGCCGATTCACACATGTGCGGTGCGGATTGAAGCTCAGGTTTCAAACCTAATTGATACAGCAGCTGTTCACAGGTTCATGTCAGGTTTACATCAGGTTCAGGACAGGATTAGCTCAGGATTTTATCCTATTCACACATGTGCGGTTTAGAAACGGTTCCCATAGAAGTCAATAGCCTGTAATCCGCACTTGAACCGGACTGCACTGCTCAGAAACCGCACTGAATCTGCACCAGACATATGTGAACAGCCACCATAGGAAGCAATGTTATTGCACGTCATGCGGATTGGATGTGGTTCAAACTACAAAAAAACTACAGTGAAAATGTGGAATAGACTCCCTCAAGAGTTGGGTTAGCTCAGTGGATTGCTTTAAAAAAGTCCTGGATTCTTTCTTAGATACACAGAATATAACTGGATACTAACATTTATAGGTAAAGTTGATCCAGGGAATATCCGATTGCCTTTTGGGGGATCAGGAAGGAATTTTTTTCCCTGCAGGAGTAAATTGGATCATGCTTTGCTGGTTTTTTTCCTTCCTCTGGATCAATTGTGGGTATAGGATTATAACTTTTTTTTTTTTAATGGTTGAACTGGATGGACTTTTGTCTTTTTTCAGCCAGACTAACTATGGCTGCAGGATAGAGGAATCCAGCACACTGTAAAGGTGGAAGGAGGGGAGGGTGTATGGGGTGAGGGGGCTGGTACTTATCAACATGTTAAAACCTAAAATACAAGTATAAGATGTAACATTAAAAGAAGGTGCAGCGCTAAACCAAGACAGTATACATAATAAAGTGCAAAGTGATCACTAATATTTTTATCATAACCATCGAAGATAATTAAAAGAATAAATAAATAATTATGCTGTGGAGGTACATCATCATAAAGCCCGCACCCTATGACTAAGTGCCTAGCACGAAACGCGTCAGAGCTACAGCATCCTAGATGTCACGCCACCACTGGTGGCCATCCTGAACATTAATGGTCAGTGTGTTTTTTTACCTTTATATTACCTGTTTTCTGTGGAAATAAAAATCACCATTTTATGCATTATCACGCTATGTGGTGTCCTTCATTGGGCTCTCCTTGTGAGCGCCATCATTTGCAGAGCCCTCTAAAGTGATGACCCAATGCGGTGATACATACTAAGGGACCCCAGAGAACCTTACACAGACGTGACCAGACGCTGTGACACCTACCTAAGGACCCTAAGGGTGTATTGGAACCTGGCCAAACCTGTGAGCAGATGACCTGAGTATACCTGATGAGACAGGATAATATCTCAAATGCGTGTTTATAGCGCACTTCTGGTGAGTGCGCATTTTTCTTATTCAGTCATTTCATCTGGCACCCCTGGATCAGTTATCCATACACGTTGATTGTGATCTTGAAAGGATCCTCACGTCTTTTTTGGGACAATTTATCACCATATATTATCACCTGGTGGTGATATACCTCACACAGCATAATTATTTATTTATTCTTTTAATTATTATCTCAGATGGTTATGATAAAAATATTAGTGATCACTTTGCACTTTATTATGTATACTGTGGTTTAGCGCTGCACCTTCTTTTAATATTCACATTTGAAGGTTGCTTTTGGTTACCTTTGGTGTTCCAGCGGCTATGTCTTGAAGTAGCGCTGGCTGATACTCTCTTTGTATTTATAAGATGTAACATGTTGCTAAAGGTGACCCCATCTCTTAACAACTAATCAGATATCTATTTTCATTTGAAATGAAAAAAAAAAAAAGGAGCAGATATCTGATTACCGTTTGTTACACTGCATTTTCAGGTCAGAAATCATTTTATATCACATTTCGCTTTAACCTTTCAAGAAATTCCAGACTCCAGCTTTAGAAGTACCACATAAACCAGTACAAGAGACAACTTACCTCTAAAATCAAAGCAACAAAGAGGTTAACCCAAATGACAGAAGACACCAGCCACCATGCCACAAAGTACAACTTCGACCATCTGAAAATAAAACACATAAGAAACATATAGTTCAGCATTGGGTTGAGGTAAATGACGAATAAAGAAAGTAATTGCCATTGGATACAGATGTTCCAGTCACTGCAATTCTCTATGATTGATGAAGGGTGATCCTCATTCTGCATTTTCTGAAGGGAACAATCCTTCATTGCAAGTAACCAAGAAAAAAAAAAAAAAAGTCACTCAAGTCAAAATAAAGTTTTTTCTAAAGTTTGGGCAGGCAACTATCAGAATGGGGAAGTGTAGATCTTGTGTGTTTCTATACATCAGATAAGATTTGCCCATCTACGGTCAACATAAAGCTACAGGCTCACTATTAGGGCTCACCAGCAGCTACACTCAGCACTGCCTCTCTGCTTGGCAGCAAAGAGCATAGAGTAGAATGCCATGTGTAAGACACAACTCAGAGCTTACACAGGACTAAGAACGCTCAGAGCTTACACAGGACTGAGAACTCTCAGAGCTTACACAGGACTAAGAACGCTCAGAGCTTACACAGGACTAAGTACGCTCAGAGCTTACACAGGACTGAGAACTCTCAGAGCTTACACAAGACTGAGAACTCTCAGAGCTTACACAGGACTAAGAACTCTCAGAGCTTACACAGGACTAAGAACGCTCAGAGCTTACACAGGACTGAGAACGCTCAGAGCTTACACAGGACTAGGAACGCTCAGAGCTTACACAGGACTGAGAACTCTCAGAGCTTACACAGGACTAGGAACGCTCAGAGCTTACCCAGGACTGAGACTCTCAGAGCTTACACAGGACTAAGAACTCTCAGAGCTTACACAGGACTAAGAACGCTCAGAGCTTACACAGGACTGAGAACGCTCAGAGCTTACACAGGACTGAGAACTCTCAGAGCTTACACAGGACTGAGAACTCTCAGAGCTTACACAGGACTGAGAACGCTCAGAGCTTACACAGGACTAGGAACGCTCAGAGCTTACACAGGACTAGGAACGCTCAGAGCTTACACAGGACTAGGAACGCTCAGAGCTTACACAGGACTAGGAACGCTCAGAGCTTACACAGGACTAGGAACGCTCAGAGCTTACACAGGACTAAGAACGCTCAGAGCTTACACAGGACTAAGAATGCTCAGAGCTTACACAGGACTAAGAACGCTCAGCGCTTACACAGGACTAAGAACTCTCAGCGCTTACACAGGACTAAGAACGCTCAGAGCTTACACAGGACTAAGAACGCTCAAAGCTTACACAGGACTAGGAATGCTCAGAGCTTACACAGGACTAAGAACTCTCAGAGCTTACACAGGACTAAAAACTGTCAGCACTTACACAGGACTAAGAACGCTCAGAGCTTACACAGAACTAGGAACGCTCAGAGCTTACACAGGACTAAGAACGCTCAGAGCCCCATGGGATGGCACTGGGTGTGGCTGCCGTCATGTGGCAGCCAGGGGTGCAAAGTATATGCTCTCCTATACTCAAAAGTACCAGGTATTTTAGTTGTCTCCTGATGGCTGACTAAATCATTGAGACAGCAAAAGAAAGAGATTGCAGGTGGGTTTGACTTTACAGTGTACCTGTTCCTTTGCTCTACAGGGTAAAACACAGCTTCTCACCACGTACATTAACTGCTTCTAGTCTGCCCTATAGCAGAGGTACTGCTACAGGGCGGCAAACAGCACACCGTTAACCCTTTGATCGCCCCAGATGTTAACCCCTTCCTGCCCAGTGCCATTAGTACAGTGTCAGTGCTTTTTATTAACACTGATCACTGTATTGGTGTCACTGGGGATGTCAGTGACACCAAGTCAGTTCCCCCCTCCCCGTAGTCTTCTGAGACACGTGTCAGGTCCCAGGAGACCAGGGGGCCATTCAGTGGGTACCCAGTTGTGAAACCGCAAGCTGTCACAGCCGGGTGCCCACACTGAAGATGCCGGCGCCTGTATAACAGGACGGCTGGTGAGGTGAAATGGGTGTTGCGGGGGGAACACCGCGGGATCGAGGGACAGGTAAGTGGCTGTTTATTAAAAGTCAGCAGCTACAGTTTTTGTAGCTGACTTTTATTTTTTTACAGTGTGAGTGGAACTCCGCTTTAACTCTGCAAGGGCAGGTGGTGATAGGAGTGCATATAAGGAGTTCTTCCCCCACCCATGGCTTTTCCTAATTAAGGTCAGCAAAGAAAAGTGTCGGATTTACAGCCACAGTTGGCATCATGAGGTGGGGGAGCCGCCTCTTGACTGTGAACTGACAGTCAGGTATCCGCGGCCATGTTTCTTGCTCTTTCGCTGAGCCTTATCTGCCCACGCTGAGTTTTTTGAGTCAGCTGATGGAGTTTTAATTCTGTCCTGGGGGACTACAGGTCACGGTGCAGAATGGTGTTGGTATGTACTGCTGGTAGCGACTTCAGACAACTTGATTTACTTCAAAACTGTTACCCAGCTGACTCTAGTGTTATGAAATCATCGGTATCAGTGAGTTAATCCAGATTTTAAAATGTTAAAAATACTTAAGTGCACATGTGTCAAACACAAGGCCCCTGGGCCATTTCATGTGGCCCTCACACCTCTCCTGCAACTGCAGCACCCCCTTGTCTTCACCCCCACCTTATCTCAGTAGACGGCAGTAGAGAGGACTGAACTTCTTTGCCAAATCCTGCGCTTTTTCATGTAGCAACAGAGAGGTGGTCTCTGCCCCCATACCCCCCCCCCCCCCCCCCCGTCTCAGTAGTGGGCAGCCGAGAGAACAGAACTCCTCCTACAGATCCTGCACCAGATACAACCAACCTTTGAGGACATCCGTTATGCTGATGAATAGAGTTTGACACCGCTGATTTATTGCACGTTCAACCTGATTGTGGTTATATTATGAAGCATTACTTACGGATTTGTGTATCTGGAAAAGGCTTCCAAGAAAACCTGCCAGTTATTCACCACCATCACGTTCCACAGTGTCACAAGAGCAGCCTGAAACACAAAGTAGCAATGGTGATCCAAGGGAAACTTTCACTGCACAGAAGCAGAAATGGTCGCAGGACTTACAGCAAAGTCATCGAAGTTGTTCGGCCAATACTCAAGTTGCTCAAAGGTCCCGCACTGTGCAGTCTCATTGGTGGTGTTCCCATTAGCTGGAGAACTAAAAAAAATTTACACAAGAAAAAGCGAGATTCATTTTTTATGTCCAAGAAGGTAGTAGTTTCAAAATAGGTTACAGCTCAAAAGAAACAATTTTTGCAACTACAGTTTACCTTGTGTTCCTTGGATTTGGCAAGACACCTCTAAACAGGTCAATACCGATGATTGCAAAAACATAGTATACCACCTAAATACAAACACAGCAAGTCAGAAAGTGAAAGGATAGGGAGATGGTTAAACCGAACGTCAGATTTGTGTTTTCTCTTAATGCCCCAGCTAAAACATCAGGCTCACACGAAGCAAGGAAATTACAGCAGACTGAAAAAAAAAAAAACAGTTAGGTTTATGAAGCTGTATATGCAAAGTCCCACCAACCCTGTTTACTATTTGAACTTTCAGATAAACTGACAAAATTGTTCATGCATTGACAGCCGAGCAAAAGGTGAGCAAAACACATTCAAGCTCTACAATCCAGAGCTGAAATTAGTCCTACTACATGTACTAAAGCCAGCCACACATGAATCAAAATTCGGAACGGTCAGCAGGGATCCATGCATGGGCAGGCTGGTTCTACAGAAGTCGATATACCAATCGACTTCTGTAAGAGCAGCCTATTGGATTTTCCCCGCTTGATCAGCGCCCCCAGCTATAACCGACATCGCTAATCTGTGTATTCTGATGATAGTTAAAGCGGAGTTCCACCTAAAAAAAAATAAATAGAAGTCAACAGCTACAAAAACTGTAGTTGCTGACATTTAAAATACAGACACTTACCTGTCCCAGGGGTGTCCTCATCAGCCTGGGGTGCCCACTGTGCATGCCCACTGTGCATGATGAAGCGCTGCGCTTTGTGAATTACCCTGTAATCTTCTGGGACCTGTCACGTGTCCCAAAAGACTGCGGGGGGGGGGGGGGGGAGCGAGGACAACTTCCTAGGCGATCGCAGCAGAAGTGGGAGCGGGTATCTGTCAAATCTGGGTGCCAATCTTTAATGGGGACCGGGAAACAAAGCCTTAAAGAGGAACTTGCCCTTTTGGGTGGAGCTCCGCTATAAGTCCCCCCCACTGTCAGAATACAATAGCTCAGCAGGGAGGATCCTCCATCCACATTAAATGTGTGCATGGGGGAATAAAGTCCTTTATTTTATTTATTCAACCAGTAGGAAAAATGAAGGATTGATGTATGGGCTTCTTAACCATTAGCCGCCCGACCAATGGCCGTTTGGCGGCTTCAAATGCGCTCCTGTATTCCGGGTGCACGCCATTTGGCGTGCTCCCGCACATGCGCAGTTTGCGGCACAGCAGAGCGGCGCAGCAGCGGGATCTGTCACGGGCCGAGCACCTCGGACACGGCCGATGACAGATCCGAGTACCGGCTCCCGTAGCTGGTACCATGTGACCTGCTGTGACCAATCACAGCAGGTCACATGATAGTTGTATACAATGGATGGCTTCATTCATGATGCCATCCATTGTATACTAGTGCCTAGCTGTGAATGGTCACAGCAGGTCACATGCACATGTCATGTGATTAGCTGTGACCAAATCACAGCTAAGCACAAAAAAAAAAAAAAAAAAAAAGCTGAATGAATCGATTTCATTCAGCTAAATGCTTGCTTATAGCAAAGTAATTCTTTGCTAAAAGCAAACTGTGTATAAAAAAAAAAAAAAAAATACTGATCACTCCCCAAAGTAGTACAATGTTACTATGGTAACATTGTACTACTTTGGTCATAGTAAAATATGAAAAAAAAATCTTTAAAAAAATGTAATAAAAAATTAAATATAATAAAAAAAATAAAAAAAAAATATATATATATATATATTTTTTTTTTTTTCATACTGTCACCAGTCAGTGTCCATGTTCACCGCCATGCCAGTTATATGAAGACGCTGTACTGCACTGGTGACAGTATGTAAAAAAAAAAAAATAGTGAAAATAATTTTTTTAATTTTTTCATTTTCTGAAAAATTATGACAAAAAAAATACAACTTCAAAAAACTCGCCATGCCTCTTATGAAGTACGTCGGACTGTCTACTCTGCAAAAAGGGGTCATTTGGGGATATCTGTACTGTTCTGATATTCAAGAAATTAGATTGGCTGTCAGTACTTCAGGATTGATCAATTTTCAGATCTATACCATTGTTTGTGAACTCTATAACTTTCCTACAAACTAAAAAATACATCCTAATTTGGGTTATTTTCACCAAAGACATGTAGCAGAATACATCTCGGCCTAAATTTATGAAGAACAATTATTTATTTGTAAACTTTTATAACAGAAACAAAGAAAAATGTGTTTTTTTTTCAAAATGTTTGGTCTTTTTTTGTTAATTTAGCAAAAAATAAAAATCCCAGCGGTGATTAAATACCACCAAAAGAAAGCTCTAGTTGTGTGAAGAAAATGATAAAATTTTAGTTTGAGTACAGTGTTTGTATGACCGCGCAATTGTCATTCAAAGTGTGAGAGCGCTGAAACCTGAAAAATGGCCTGGGCAGGAAGGTGTAAAATCACACGGTATTGAAACGGTTAAGAGTGGATTAGCCAGGTATCTAAAGTGTAGAAAATATATGTGAGTGCACTTAAGATTAAATAGCCGCTGACCACTCAACGTAACCAAAAAACCTCAAACAGACAAGATAAAATACTGTGCAGCGCTAAAATAGGTAGATAAAAGCATCAAAACCAATCAAATAATATATGATATATAAATAGTTCATAAAGTGATAATCAGTGCATATAGGAATCCTGCGTTCATCAAGAATTCGGTGCTTGTGCAATCAGGTATGGGAGAAATGCGCACTCACCGGAACGCATAATAAAATGCGCATTTGTATATTAAAATCCTGATGTCATCAAGGTCATCCAAATCTGGGCAGGAATAGGGTTGAATCCCTCACAAGATGGGTATGGATCCTGGGCCTCTGAAGTGAACCGGAAGGGTGCCAGAGATCCCTTAAGGCACCGAATTCTTGATGAACGCAGGATTCCTATATGCACTGATAGTCACTTTATTAACTATTTATATATCATATATTATTTGATTGGTTTTGATGCTTTTATCTACCTATTTTAGCGCTGCACATTATTTTATCTTGTCAGGTATCTAAAGTGTGCCTGTGCCTGCCAAATGCACTAAAAAGAGAAAAGTAGATCAACTAACCAATGCTACTGTTTGTTAGAATCTAGTTCTACCTGCAGGAGTCACCTTTTTGCATGGTCATGCAGCACCCAACTTTAGCTATATAGATGGTTGGTATTCTGTCAGCGGCAAACTCAGCCACTCCTCCCACTGCATGGTGTCTATTTACAGGGAAACTGTGTTACCGTATCCATGTCACTGAGTCCATTAGGGGTCCAAAGTCGCCCATCATGGTGGTCAAAACACTAAAGGATCATCAGAGGTCTGAGAACCATAGATGGACCATAGTCCTGGACATGAAAAGCACCCTGAGGCTACCTACATGCATTGCAACAGTGTACCAGTGACAGCCCCTAATGCAGGGCACAGTGCCTGAAGCAAACATTACAAGGTGGCCCCACACAGAGGGGTCTGGGTACAGTGCCCAGGGTAAAAACCGAGGGTCCTGATCTGCAAACTGTACATAGCCCAGCATAAGCAGTTAGATCTAGGTTCCATCACCTAAAGACACTGGCATAAACCTGGAATATCTCAGAGTAGGTGAGGCTATATAAGCATGCACTAGGGAATGCCCTAGCTAGGGGCGGACTGACCATTTGGAAACTCGAGCACTGCCCGAGGGCCCGGGGTCAGTAGAGGGCCCCATGAGATGCCACTGGTACCTTTTTCATAGGCTTTTTTGAGTTTGGGCAAGGACACAGGGGCCCCATGATCCCCTATTGCCCTGGGCCCCATGAGTTATCAGTCCGCCCCTGGCCCTAGCAAAGGTTTTTGCTAGCATCCAATCACCTGAAGGTAGCCAGCATATAACCTGAGGTCTATGACTACAGTGCAAGCCGTGTGCTCTACTGGATGATTAGGACAGGAAGGTGGCAATGGTCAGCTGCTCACTTCTTCAGGGTTACTCTGGTGGGCACAGGTGCACTTTAAGCAGCTTCACATCTGAGAATCTCCAATCATTTATATGGAAAGGCTTTTTCTCATTTACATTTTACATCTATGTAGAACTGCCAAACAAACAATATTTGAAAGTGAATCCGCATGAAGGTACTTACCACAAGGATTCCAGCAAATGCCCGAAGATTCTTCACTAGGTCCAATAATGTGCCCGCTACTAAAGCCATCATCTAAAAAGGTAACACGACTAGGATATTACAGCATGACAAGCAAGCAAGGATACGCCAATACAATCTACCAC